CTCTAAGTGAACCCTCCCGGACTGATCGGTTTAGTGGGGGCCTTCCTCTCCTCATCTATCTGTACCTGCATTTTACAAGGAATGGTTGAGTGATAATTCATTATTTTTTGTGTCTCCTAAGGATTTTATGTAAGGAATGGGTTCGAGGAACGCAACTCTAATACCAACTATAACGACCCCGGAATGTTCAAAAGAAATAAATTATAAATTAAGTGCGGAAGTGAAATAAATAGTTAAGGTTTACATTCTTTACATAATAACTTAAAGTACCGAATAGTGCTACAGAAATTACCGTTTTGAAAGAAATATAAAAAAATAAGGAAATAAGCGAAAAATAAATGAAACAAGCATCCTACTCGTAACCCTCTTGTGGATCGGGCTCTAGATCCTGGTCATCTTGATCTGAAATAATTAAATAAGAAATGAGCTACACTACCCCAGTAAGAGTATCACGCTATTCACCAACACAAAAATGAAGTTTGGTAGAAAATCAAAACAACTAATGGAGCACTTAATTAAACAAATGTATTTATTAATAATAAAATCATTTACCGTCCACTTATCGCAACAAGATTTATAAAAATAACCTATAGAGACAATAATATAGCACGTATTATGATTTCGTATACAATTGGTAACATGCATACATTATAAACCCATATTCCATAAATCAAACAACAAATGCCCCTTTCCATCAACCTGCTAGTATCCATGGGGGTTCATAGGGATGTTCCCGCTACGCGTGAACTCTTTCCTTTAACATTCTCAATTAACGGACCGTCCCCATACCCCGTCTGGTATGAGTGCCAAATTACTAAATCTCAATACCTCGTCCGGTATGAGGGTGAAACGGGTCGTCCTCATATCCCGTCTAATATGAGCGCTAAATTACTAAGTCTTGATACCCCATCCGGTATGAGACAACATTCACGGTAGGGCTCCCTATTGTACCTGGTCCATCCACCATCTCCCAAGATATTCAGTAAGGTTGTTGTTTCATCCATTCACTTAATCACACAGTTCCCATTTACCTTTAATCTTCAGTTTTCCAATTCAACTATAATCACATAAACAAACAAACATGCATCAAGATATGCAATCCTATCTCGGCTTTTCAATTTAACAGTAGTCACATAAGGCAGCAATAAATGTATTCAAAACCATAAAATCGATAAACCAGATATTATTATGTATTCAAACTGTAAAATAAATCGATAGAAATCAACATAGAATAATTTCTGATTCTACCTCCATTAGTAACCCGTAATTAATTATAGACATTTTTTAAATTGTACGAAATACCATATTATTGTAAATTTGACTTCAATTCCATAACAGAGAATAGGGTGAGGGATTCTTACACAATTTGATGCCCGAAAAACTAACCTGTTGACTGTGCCTATTGGTGGTCCCTGGGTTTCTTGAATTTTTCTTCGAAAATTAAAATGCGCTATAAGTACCTATAAATGTCCCAAAAACCAAAAATCAGTCTCATGACCCATTTTTGGCCAATTCTAAAATTCCGGCATGGTAGCTCCGCCGTGCTCTGCCAACGGCGGTCTGCCTCGAGTTGGCTTTTTTCGGTCGATTTTGTATCAATCCCTATAAGAAAATACGTTAAGGGGTCTCGGTTGGTCGAAAAAATACAAAAAATTAAAACTCACTAGCGGCGGGGCTCTCCGGTACGGCAACTCCTCCGGCTCACGTTGCGGTTGGGTGTTTTACTCTGGTTAACCTTTAGAGAAGGAAATGGTGATCATAATGGTGAAAAAATTACGCAGAACGAGAATCGGGAATGGCCTTATTGGAGGCATTTTGTGAAATTTTCCGTGAAGGCACCGCTGGGCTTTGCCTGCAGTTTTCGGCCAATCCGCTGTTCTTTTTGCTCCGATTTTACCATGGGGGTGTTTAAAATTGAATTTCGAGCAAATAAAATTTTTGTACTTCTTTTGGCAGTCGGAAAAGGCTCCGGCGCGGCGGCGGTGGCGGCGGCCTTCTTCCTAGTGGCTGAATCTTCTTCTCCGGTGAGGGGGCTCTAGCATCTAGGGTTAGGGTTTTATGTGAAGGGGGTTATTTATACTCGTCCCCTTTTGATATGGGCCGTTCATCGTGTTTGATCTGGACCGTCCGATCGTAATTAAATAAGGAGTGAATTTGAACCGTCCATCACGATCTAATCTAGGTCGTCCGATCACATTTAAATAGAAAGCAGATCTGGACCGTTAATCGTGTTTAAATCTGATCGTCTAATTGCGTTTGGGGAGGGAACGCATCCAGGCCGTTCGTGCGGGCAGGAATTGATCTGGGTCGTTCAATCGCAGGCACGCGAATCGCCCGCGTGGCACCGTGTCAGCGTCCGTTGCCACGCGGCGCGTTATGTTTCGTCGGAGCTGCAGACCGGGCATCTTACGTGGCACAAGTTTTTTAAATTGTATTTTGACTACCAGTTTCCAATTTTTCTTTCAAAAATACCCTTAGAACCTAAATTTTCACCTATTTTTTCCAAAATTGTTTTCAATTTCATCCCCCATCAAATGTTTTTTCATTTTTACACTAAATTAAAATAAAAAATAAAAAATAATATTTATAAATTAATTTTAAATTACATTAAAATTAAATTTGGGTGTTACAACTTGACACCACTCTTTGAGGGAATTCTATTTGGACCCTATAAGTCATAATGTATATAATCTAATTTATTTTGGTATTATACAATGCTTGTTTATTGAATTTCACCTTGGTTTGTTAGTCAAATATACAATGTTCACAAACTCTACAGCTTTCTCCTTTTACCTGTTTAACAAGTTCTGCTTGCTCAAAACAGATAACTCTTTGTCACTTACATGATTAAGACACAGATGCCACAACTTAGTATGATTCTAATCACTACTCCCTGATGCTATAACAACTTCCTCTGAAGTTGTATTGTCTTGAAGAATATATAATATAGACACCAAAATGTCTTTCATGAGTATCATAAAGTCTTGACACACTTTGCGAATGCCAATTTCTACATGTTATCTATAACATTGAGAATATAGTGTAGAAAGAGAAATCAAATTCCTCTTCATTTGTGAAACATACCAACATTCAATAATTCTAATAACTCTATCAGACATTCTCGATTTGATATTACCAATCACATCTACAGATAATGAATTACCATTATCCATATATACAGTATCATTTTTCTATTTGTAGGTAGTAAAATAATGTTTATGTGGAGACATATGGAGTTTAACAACAAAGTCATGAACATATGAACTTTTTCCATGATCTGAACTCATAGATCAAACTTCCCAAACAATACTACTATAACTATTATCAAAATTATTTATGTCAGCTATATTTGCAGAATTCTCCATCTTATTTCTCTTTTTCTCTTTTAACTTAAGACAGTATCTTCTAAAGTAACCATGCTCCTCACTCTCAAAATAGTTTGCTTTCTTATATCTAGATTTTAATATGCTTTTTGAACTATTTTTTATTTATACTATTCCCTTATTCACTAAAATCTCCCCTTATATTCTATACTCTTAGGAGTTTTTTTTTTAATTCTTTTGATTTTAGTACGTTACTAATATCATCTAGTGAATTCTTCTCATACAACAAAGTATCAATAAAATTTTCATAAGAGGATGACAGTAAACATAATATAATTAACATTTGATTTTTATTATCAATCTTAACATCTATATTATTTAAGTTCATAACAATGGAATTAAATCCATAAAAATGTTGTTTAATAAGTGTACTTTCATTCATTCTCATATTATACAACTTTTTATTCAAATAAAAGGCAATTGGTAGCGATTTAGTAGAGTACAACTCTTTTAATTTCTTTTACACTACTGAAGGAGAAAGTTCTCTAAGAATTATTTCTAGAACATTATTAATCACACTTATGAAAATTGGACTTAAGATCTCTCTTCCAAATTTGTTTTATCCGTGTCTCTCATACCCTCTAGGAATCTTTCATCAATGCCTTCTATAAACCTTGTAAAAACAAGGACGATGTCATTCTAATATTCTACATACTGAAACTCATTTTATCATCAAATTCTTTTATGTCATACTTTAACAGAAAATGAAGATGTCATCTCGAAACCCTATATTGTGCACAAAACTAGAAACAAATAAGAGGAACACCATCTGCATGAAGAAACAACCATTTATAGGGATAAAAACCACCGGCACCATCATCACGTAAACACCACCGTACACTAGAATAGAAATCACTGTGTCGTCGCTGCGCACACACTTGAAACCATCGTGTATTGCTATTACTATTATGCGCACACACCAAAAATCATCGTGTGTTATTGTTGTGCACACACTAGAAAACACCACGCCCTACACCAGAAAAAATTGTGTGCTACCATTGCGCGCACACACACACACTAGAAAACACCACAAATACCACCACTCATGATCTGTCCTTGTGCAAATCGTCGTGCATTGATGTTGCCATCGCGTAGATAAGAAACCAATACGAGTAGACTAAACACAACCACATAGAATCGTCGCACAAAAAAAAATGAAGATTTCGTCTTTTTCCTTACTTGGAGATCCGGATAGAACGTGGGACTTGTGTTGCCGTCATTCCATCTTCTTCCTATCTCTCTCCGGACGAAATAGAGCCACTGCCATATTTTGGTCCGTCTTTTTCCTTGCTTAGAGATAGGACAAAATGTGTGTGGTGGTAGGCAAAGTAGAAAATTCTGTCCTATTGGTGATATACTCTCAATCTATATCATAATAAAAAGTTTCTTATTAGTTTTATTCATAAATATAGACATATTTGTTGAACCATGTTAAATCTTATGTCTTTTATTATTTTGTATGATTATGTACACATTCAAGATTTATTTTTCCAACAAAATTTTTATAAAAAAATAAGCCAAAATAAGATTATTGAATTATATATTTTTATAATTAAACATAAAGTATATAAATCATTTTAAAATCAGAAAAAAAAAAAATGATCCAAGACTAAACTTGAAATATAAAGTCCAAGTAACTTATGAGGGGAGCAGGGTACAAATGACTTCTCAGTGGAGCACGGCCGGAACAAATTAAACCCGGACCGATTCAGACTCGGTGGTTATCGGCTACGGGTGGGAAATCTGCCATTGGCAAACTTGGAGAAGAAGAAGAAAATGACGGTTGCAGCGGGAATCGGGTACGCGCTGCTAGCGCTAGGACCGTCTCTCTCACTCTTCGTTTCTGTCATCTCCAAAAAGCCTTTCTTGATCCTTACCGTCCTCTCCAGGTCTCTCTCTTAACTTTGTCTTTCTACGTTCTGATAAAATTTTACTGGAAGGCTCATGTCCACCATCAAAGGTAGACTGAGGCGAAGCTATAGGAACTTCTGGGTCTAATTATTTATCTTCCTTTCTTCTTGACGAGCAAAGCCAATGATAGATTCAATCTTATTTTTGTTTGGTTTTCCTTTTTGTTTTGCGAATAGTTATATGTACATTTTCGTTATGAAAATTGTTTTAGCATTTAATTGGTGCGATTTTGTTTTGAAATTAGGGTTTTGTAAGTTCATCAGGAAACGGTTTCGACACATTTTTCTTTCTTTTGTAGGCCAATGAAAGTAAAAGGATGAGTTGTTTTATCAATATCGATATGAATTTTGAGGTTGTATTTTTGGGCTCTGACGTATATTGCTGAATGCAGTACACTCTTATGGCTCATAAGTTTGATCCTCCTATCGAGCTTATGGAGGGCATTTCTTCCTCTCAAATCCACTGCGTGGTGGCCATTTTCCTTACTTATAATCACGTCAGTTGCTTTTCAAGAGGGCCTTCGCCTACTTTTCTGGAAAGTTTACAAGTAAGTCGATACATTCCTACATCATCTGGATCACATTAAAGATTGTGATGCACGAGTTCATGCCTTCAACTTCTCAAATAATCCTAAGAAACTTGGGTCAAAACTTTCTCTCTTATGTTGAACATATTTTGGGTTTGGTTCAAATTCTAATTTCATATAATATAAGTATGTAAATTTGAATGAAAATAGTAGTCTACTTGTAAGTGATTCTATGTATAATTCAAATTAGATATTTTTGTGATTTGCAGTTGGAAATACAAAACAAACGACCGAAAAAATGTTACATTAATTTACTTTAGTATCAAATATCTAATATTTTTTAAATATTAAATAGTTAAGGTTTAGAGATTGATTGAGAGTGGAATAAGTTTTAATCAGCCGCAATGTCAGGATAGATGTTTGGTTCAAATATAATAATTACACAATTGGAATATGAAATCTGGAGAAAAAGTTGAAATGAGAACAATATTATAATTTCATGTTAAATTTGAGTTAGGTGGATTTGAATTTCTACCTAGTGAGGGAAAAAAATAATCTCTGTTGCATTCATTGTAGGAGTTGAATCGGCTCAGTTGCAAATTGAACATGAAATTATATCCAATTCTCTATATCAAGTAACGAAGTGAAAAAATAGATTAGGAATTGAACCAAATTTTTCAATCTAGAATTGGTTCAATTGTGAATTGAATATGAATTTACATCCAATTCTCTATCTCAAGTAACCAAAGTGAAGAAATAGAAGAGGAATTGAACCGAACTTACTGTTATTGTCAATCTAAGTTCTGTCTCTCAAGTGTTTTTTGGCTAGTTTATTTTTATTTATTTTTCATATGTTTTACCTTTATTACTTCTTTGCTTTTTATGAGATTCAGTAGGGGAGTTTTGTATTTTTTATTTGGATCCCTCTAGAGATTATGTTTTCAAAATTTTTGAATTGTATGGCAATTTAAGGGTGTTCTTTGACATGTCTTCTGCTGGAGTTATGTAGGAAGCTGGAAGATATCCTGGATGCCTTTGCTGATAAAGTTGCAAAACCTCGCCTTTTTTTGACAGATAAGATGCAAATTGCTCTCGGTAAGAGTGGAGCTTTCTTCTAATCACCTTTAGTTTGAAATTTTTCTTTGTTTTGGTGAGAGCCTCTCCAAGCGGTGTTCAGCAGCAAGATAATAATACCATGTTAAAATAATATGTATTATTGATTATATAATGGTGAAAGCTGAAAATAATAAATTAATATTTATTTATGGTGCACAAACTGGACTTTAAGGAGGATATATGGACTATATCTGCTTTGCCATTTTCTTACACATTTATTATTCCATATGTGATTTGTGCTTTAATATCATTCAAATCAACTACATGCAGCCGGTGGTTTAGGACATGGCTTGGCCCATGCTGTGTTCTTTTGCCTAAGTCTCTTAACTCCCGCCTTTGGTCCAGCAACATTTTTTGTAGATAGATGTTCACAGATACCTTTCTTTCTTGTTTTAGGTGAGTCAAATCTGTTTCCCTAGTTCCTTTTGTGTATTATCTCTTTTAGTTGTAGTTAATTTCTTAAGGATATTTTATGCATATTGTTTATTCTTATCTTTCTCTCTGCGGTTTACTCAAGTTATAGGCTATTACAAAGAACGGGTAACAGATTACTGGGAGTTCTCTGTGAACTGACAGCAGTTCACAACTTTGCATGCCTTTTTCTACTATTGTTTTTTATCAGTTGTATAGATCGCAGCAACTGTTGCTTTATCTGAAGTTTATGCAACTTTTAAACTAGATTTAGGATGAGGTAATGGGTAACTGAAGTAGTCTTTTATTAACAATTTTTCACATATATTGCAGCAATAATTGCTCTAGCATTTGTCACAATTCACACTTTCTCAATGGTAATTGCATTCGATGGATATGCTGAAGGGAACAAAACGAACCAATTATTTGTTCCAGTTGTTCATCTTGTCGCCGGACTGACGGTAAAACACTAACTTTTCCTATTACCTTTTCATGCAAGATTTCTGTCATATTGCTTTGGTATTTTCTATCTAATATGTTCTTCAATACTTGATCATTGATAATTAGAAATGGCCCTGGGGTCACCCATATGAATATACCATTTCCTTTGGATTGAGAAAGATGGGAATTATGAATAGAATTGTAATTTAACTTCGCATGGGAAGTATAGACTTATATAGTCTAGAATTTATGATTTGTAGTAGGATTATGCTGTTTCATGTTGGAAGTATAGACCTATATAGTTAGGATTTGCGATTTGTACTAAAATTATGCTGGTTTAAAAACTTCAAAATAGTTTGACTTTGTTGTTGATGTTATTGCCATCTTATCCTACGAAGGGTCTGGTAGTTTAATTAGTATCCGTATTTATAAGCTGCTAATATTTTTATGAAAAAGAATATTAATTAAACAATTATAAAGTGAAATTAGTACACTGTTTAATAAATTTACTTTGAAAAGTGTTGTCTATATAAAATGCAATGTTATATATGATTATACTGAAGTGGTAAAAAATATTATTATAACTTATTTAAATAATTTAAATATTTTTCTTAAAATTTATTCTGATAATCTACATTATTTTTAACTTTATTGTTTTATTTATTTTATCTACTATAAATATTAAATTTAAATTATAATTTTTAAGATTATTAAAAAAATAACTTAAATAATTTGTAATAAACATACAACTATTAGTAATAAGTTAGTATTAGTTTCACTTTAACTTTAATATCATTAAATTAATAAATTAGTGAAAACATAATTCATAAATATGCTAATTAAAAATATTGTTGACCTTCCATAACATAAATCATATCTTATAAACATTTATTTTTAGCTTTTAATTCTTTACATTTACTAAAAAGTCAAAAACAAATTGTGCTTTTATTTATAAGTAGTTTTATTTTCTGTATTTAGTTAAATTTCTACTTTCTAACAACAAGAATAGAAGCAGATATCTGGTTAAACAAACACTAAATGGATCATTTGTAAAAGTCTAGAATTGAAAATGAGATGAATTTGTATTTTAAATGCGGAAGTGAACAATAATATTAGGGTTTACATTCTTTACATTGTAAATTGGAATGCTCAATAAGAATAGGGGAAGGTTCTTTCTACAGGGGGTCGTAAAAAGAAACGAATAAAATGATTAAAACAAATAAATAAATATCTTAGGAGTTAACCTTCACTAGGACTTGATGCGATCCGGAAGGTAATATACTCACAATCCTCCTGCTGATTAGGATTTAGATATTGATATTATCGATTTGAAATGATTAATAGAAAAGTGAGTTACATTAGCCCAGTAATAATATCACGTTAATCACTGATACGGGAAACCGAAGGTTGGTAAAAATCATAAAACAACTAATAGAGCCGTTAATTTGAGTAAATTCATTTAATATAAAGAAAACTGTTTATTCTGTACTTACCGTTGCGAGTTTTTCAAAATGGTTTATGAAAACAATAAATTCGAATATCTTCTTATGACACATTTACACGAATAATAACAGTAAACTCACTTCATTCCTTCCTTATCGGTACCTCTGAGGGTTCATAGGGATAATCTTCTACTCGTGAACCCAATGTATATATTTATCAATTAACCCGGTCGTCCCTATATCCTGTCCGCTAATAGGCATTAAACACACCATCGTCTCAATACTTCGTCTGGTATAAGGGTGAACAATATCTCCCAAACCCTTCTGGTATGAGACTTTTTAGTCCTATCTGACTGAGATAATATCCACAGTTGGGTTTCCTATGTACCGGGTGTAACGACCCCGGAATGTCCAAATAAATAAATTATAACTTAAATGCGGAAACGAAATAAATAGTTAAGGTTTACATTCCTTACACATAAACTTAAAGTTCCAAATAGTGTTATGAGAATTAACTGTTTGAAGGAAATACAAAAAAATAAAGAAATAAACGGAAATTAAATAAAACTGGTATCCTACTCGCAACCTTCTTGTGGATTAGGATCTGGATTCTGGTCCTCTTAATCTGAAATTGTTACATAAGGGATGAGTTACACTAGTACAGTAAAAATATCACGCTATTTACCGACACAGAAATGAAGATTGGTAGAAAATTAGAACAATTAATGGAGTACTTAATTAAACAAATACATTTCTTAATAATAAAACCATTTACCGTCCACTTACCATAGCGAGATTTTCAAAAGTAACCTATAGAGACAATAATATTACACATATCATGATTTCATATACAATTGGTAACAGACACACATTATAAATTCATATTCAATAAATTAAACAATAACTTTTCCTTTTATCGGCCTACTAGTATCCATGAGAGTTCATACGGATGTCCCCGCTACGCGTGAACTATTTCTTTCAACATTTTCAATTAAAGGGCCGTCCCTGTACTCCATTCGGTATGAGCACCAAATCACTAAATCTCAATACCCTATCCGGTATGAGGGTGAAACGGGCCGTTTCCATACCCCGTCCGGTATGAGCGCCAAATTTCTAAGTCTTGATACTCCGTCCGGTATGAGATAACGTTCACGGTAAGATTTTTTACCGTATCATTGTACTCCATTCGGTATGAGCACCAAATCACTAAACCTCAATACCCCGTCCAGTATGAGGGTGAAACGGGCCGTCTCCATTACCCGTCTGGTATGAACGCCAAATTACTAAGTCTCGATACCCCGTCCGGTATGAGACAACATTCACGGTAAGGTTTTCTATTGTACCCGGTCCGTCCACCATCTTCTAGGATATCCAGTAAGTCTGCCGTTTCATCCATTCACTTAGTTACACAATTTTTTCGTTTTTCTTTAGTCTCTATTTTCTAAATCAACCATAATCACATAAACAAATAAATATGCATCAGGGAATGCAATCATATCTCGGTTTTCCAATTTAACAGTAGTCACATAAGACAGCAATACATGCATTCAAAGCATAATATCGATCAATGAAATGCTATAATGCAATTAACTGAAAAATAAATCAATAGAAATCAATGGAGAATAATTTCCGGTTCTGTCTCCATTAATAACCCATAATTAATTATAGATATTTTCTAAGTTTCATGAAATATCATATTATTAAAAATTAAACTTCAATTCCATAACAGATGATAGAGCTAGAGATTCTTACTCAATTTGATGCCCGAAAGGCTAAATTGTTGACTGCGCGCTGCTAGTGGTCCCCGGGTTTCCTGATTTTTTTTTTGAAAATTAAAACGCGCTATAAGTACTTACAAATGTTCCAAAAAACTCAAAATCAGCATCAGGGTCCAATTTTGGCCAATTTCGGAATTCCGGCACAGCGGCTCCACCGTGCTTTGGCGACGGCGTCGCCGCTTGCGGAGGCGGTCCGCCTCGAGTCGGTTGTTTTATGGCTGAATTCGGCCGATTTTGCATCGATCCCTGCGAGAAAACATTTTAAGAGACTTCAGTTGGCCGAAAAAACACAGAACATCAAAACTCAGGCAGTGGGGCTCTCTGGCCCGGCGGCTCCTCTAGCTCATGTTGCGGTTGGGTGTTTTGCTCCGGTCAACCTGTAGAGAAGGAAACGGTGATTATAAAGTGGAAAAATTATGTCGAACGAGAATCGGGAAGGGTCTTATCGGAGGCGTTTTGTGAAATTCCCTGTGGTGGCACCGCCGGGCTTTGCCCACGGTTTTCGGCCAATCAGCTAGTCTTTTTGGTCCAATTTGGTTATGGGTGTTTAAAATTGAATTCCGAGCAAAAAATATTTTTTTTTTACCTTTTTTGGCGGTCGGAAAGGGTTCCGGTGCGGCGGCGGCTCTCATTCCCGACGGCTGGGTCTTCTTCGGCGAGGGTGACTGGCGACTAAGGTTTGGATTTGGTGTGAATAGGGTTATTTATACTCGTCTCTTTTTGATCTGGGCTGTCTATCACGTTTGATCTGGACCGTCTATCACATTTGATCTGAACCGTCCGATCGCTATTAAATAGGAAATGAATCTGGGTCGTTCATCGCAATCCAATTTGGGCTGTTCATCGTGATCTAATCTAGGCTGTCCGATTGTATTTGAATATGATCGTTCGATCGCATTTAGAGAGGGAACTGAATCCGCCTGTTCGTGTGCGCTGGAACGGATCTGAGCCGTTCGATCGCTGTACGCGGATCGCCCGCGTGGCACTAAGTCCCGTTGCCACGCGGCACGTCTTGATTCGTCCGAGCTGCTGACCGGGCATCCTATGTGGTAAAACTTTTTTAAATTACATTTCGACCTCTAGTTTTTGATTTTTCTTTCAAAAATACTTTCAGAACCTAAATTTTCACCCATTTTTTCCAAAATTGTTTTCAATTTCTTCATCCATCAAATTTATTTCATTTTTACTCCAAATTAAAATTAAAAAAAATTAAAAAAATTAAAAAATTACATTTAAATTAACTTAATTACATTAGATTTAAACTTGGGCATTACAATTCTTCCATTCATAAAAAAAATTTGGTCTCTCAAATTTGTCTTTTTCACTCACAATTAAACAGCTGGGGATATTGGGTTATGAAGTCTGATTTTAGCTCCCATGTGGCCTATCTCAGTGTGTGATTCTGCCATATGATCTTAACAAAAGGAATTTTCGGTTGCGGAGTAATCTGCTCTTTCGGTTCACATACTGGCGGATACTTTCTTGTAGGACAGATCCTCTTGGAGTGGAAGAGGTTCGTGGGCCAGGACGTGAGGGATCCGGGTTGTACTTGCGTAGCATGGACACATGGAATACATTATGGATCCTAAAAAGTTCTGGAGACAGTGTTAGTCTGTAGGCGGCGGTATCAATGTTGTCTAAGATTTCGAATGGCCTAATAAACCGATGATTTAGTTTCCCCTTCTTGCCAAACCTACTGATTCCCTTGAAAAGGATGACCTTAATGAACACCTGATCGTCTTTTTCAAATTCCAAATCCCTCCTCCGAGTATCCACATAACTCTTTTGCCTGCTCTGAGTTGTCTGAATGTTCTTCCTAATCTTAGCTATTTTGCCTGTAGTCTCCTCTACAAGGTATAGGCCGAACATTTTTCTATCACTCATTTCTTTCCAACAGATCGGTGATCTACATGGGCGGCAATACAATACCTCATACGGAATCATGCCAATACTTGCTTAGTAACTGTTGTTGTAGGCAACTCTATCAGGGGTAGATGGTTATGCCAATGGCCCCCAAAGTCAAGAACACAAGCTCAGAGCATATCCTCAAGTGTGCGGATCGTCCTTTCTGACTGTCCATCGGTTTGAGGATAGAATGCAGTACTAAGGGACAGTTTCGTTCCCATGACTTGCTGAAGGCGAGACCAAAACCGAAAAATGAATCTAGGGTCCCTGTCGGACACTACTGTCACTAGCACTCCATGTAATCTGACTATTTTTCGGATGTATATTCTTGCAACTTATCTAAGAGATCGGTCA